TAACTTTGTACCTTGGGGAATAGGTACACTAACAGGTTTCGCACCAGCAAGACCCGTATCCTCAATGAGATCAAGAATATATTTTCTTTGATTGACGTAGGTACCATCTTGACCTCTAGCAATTTCAATCCCCAGGAAGAATTTCGCATAACCCAAGTCCTTAATGGTGAATTTAGAATGCAAAAACTCTTTGACAGAGAGAATATCTGATTCATGGGTTTCGGAAATCAAAATGTCATCCACATAGATCAAAAGGAAAATGCTATGACCAGAAGACTGACGAAAAAACAAGCAATGATCATGCTGAGACTGAGTAAAACCATAATCAGTGAGCTTATGACAGAGTTCAATATTCCATTGTCTCGATGCCTGCTTCAGACCATAAAGACTCCTCTTCAACTTACATACCTGACCTGGTGAACCCTGATTGTAACCAGCTGGTGGATCCATATATATCTCTTCATCCAGATAACCATGTAAAAATGCGTTGTTAATATCTAGCTGGTGAATAGGCCAAGACTTAGCTGAGGCAATGGCCAAAAAAATTCTTACCGTAACCAACTTGGCTACAGGTAAAAAACAATCAAAAAAATCAATTCCCTCAAGTTGATCATATCCCTTTGCTACCAAACGCGCCTTGTATCTATCAATAGTACCATCTGGGTGAAGCTTGATTTTATAAACCCATTTAGAGCCAATGGCTTTCTTTCCAGGAGGTAAAAAAGTCAACTCTCATTTATCATTGTCTTCCAACGCTTTCAGCTCCTTATTCATAGCTTGGACCCAATTTTGATTCTTACAGGCTTGATGATAAGTGTGTGGCTCTTGAACATTTGATACATTAGCCAGAAAAGATATATATGCATGATGTAAACAAGGGGAAATAGAATATGGAAATGTTGTGGGTGTATACTTGGAGCTGAACGCAGCAGTATCAGGAGTTACAGGAACATTAGCAATTGGATGCGCTAAACTATCAGTTACATTAGTGACATAGTCATCTAACCAAGCAGGCTTAACCCTCAATCTAGTACTATGTCTAGACTCTGATAAAACATCTGAGTCATTAATAGGAGAGTCAGCAAAGGGAACTGGAATGACAGGAACAAGATGAGGATCAGAAATGGAGGACCCTGGTGAATTATTGATAGAAACAGAGTCTGGCAAGGCGATTGGAAGTAAGGCACCATTGTTATGAGCAGTATTTAAGGAAGTTTTGGATGCTGCAGAAGAATTGATGGAAGGATCATCTAGAGGAAATGCTACAGGTAGAGGTGTAGGAAGGTTTGGCTGATTCTGAAGTTTGAAGGGAAAGATGTTTTCATAAAAAATAACATCCCTTGAGATATGAATTTGTTTGCTTGAAAGATCATACACTTTATAAGCCTTTTGCCCAGGGCTAAACCCAATAAAAACACACCTATCAGCTCTAGGATCAAATTTATCTTTGTGAGGTTTAATATTCGTGATGTAGCAAAGGCAACCAAAAATTTTTAGAGAAGAAAGATCTGGTTTGGTTCCATATAGCACCTCAAAAGGAGTTCGCCAGTGAAGAATGGAGCTAGGAATTCGATTTATGATATAAGTAGACATAAGAATAGAATATGACCAAAAATGCTTTGGTAAATCAGCCTGAAACATAAGAGATCTGGCCATATTCAATAAATGTCTATGTTTTCTTTCCACCACTCCATTTTGTTGTGGAGTGTAGACACATGATTTTTGATGTAAGATTCCAAGAGTTCGAATCAAAATCTGACACTCATGACTGGTGAGATCACTGCCATTATCAGTTCTTATAGTTTTGACATGCCTTTCAAACTGGATTTTGACCATTTTGAAGAATGATTCAAGAGTTTTTACATTTTGAGATTTCTGGACTAACATGAAGGTCCACGTAGCTCTAGAAAAATCATCTACAATGGTTAACATATAGGGGGTACCTGTAGGAGTGTGTTGCTTGTATGGTCCCCAAATGTCAATGTGTAAAAGATCAAAAATGGATTTGGTATGAATCTGAGAAAGCTGAAAAGATTGTCTACTCTGTTTAGCTCTATGGCAAACGTTACAAGGTTGCAAGGTTTCAATGGCAATTGTAGTGCACAATTGACTGAGAAAATCTAAATGCTTTAGACTTTGATATGAAGCATGCCCTAACCTATTGTGCCAATCTGTAATAGAAATGAAAGAGGTTTTATTGATATGAAACTTACCATCAGCAGGTTTTAATGTCCCAACTGATAGTTTATTACAAGAATTGACCTCCTATTACAACCTTTAATCTCCCCATCCATGAAACTATGATCATCAAACACATATAACTTTCCATTCAGCTTTCCAATTTCTAAAATCCTTTCATCCTTTAGGTCCTGTAAGGAGCAATGAGTAGGATAAAAAATGAATTTGATTTTTGCTGTTTGTGTTAATTTTGGGACAGACAATAGGTTGAATTTGAAAGTGGGAATGTGTAATACATTGGTAAGTAACAATTTCTGATTTATTGTAACTGATCCAATATGCTCAACATGTTTGATAGAACCATCAGGTAAGCAAACAACGGTAGACTGTGTAACATGTGTAATGTTTGTCATTTGATTAATATCAGTGCATATATGTGTACTGGCACCAGTATCAATTATCCAAGATCTACAATCAAAATCATCAAGTGATGTAAAAGCCAAGTGTTGAGTACATATACCTGAATAGTCATTGAGATGTGCAAAATTGACTTGATTTCCATCAGTTAGTAACCTTCCCTTGAACATTTTCATCAACTCGAGTTGCACAATGTCTGTGAGTTTCCTCGATACCTCATTCTGTTGGATCATTGCAGCTTCTCTTTCCTCCAAATCAAGTATTCCCTTGAACATTTTCATCAACTCGTGTTGCACAATGTCTGTGAGTTTACTTGATACCTCATTCTTTTGGCTCATTGCAGCTTCTCTTTCCTCCAAATCAAGTGGTGAGTCTGTCATATTCAACACATTATTCACCGTGTTCCTCCCTCCAAAATCTTTAGTTCTCTGTTCCTTCTGTCCTTTGTACCAATCTGGGTAGCCAATCAACTTGAAACAGCTATCCCTCAAATGTCCATTAGTGTTGCAATGATCACAGAACATCACATCTTTGTCGAAGTTGTTAAACCTTCTGTTATTTCCTCTTCCAAAGGCAGTACTACCTCTTCCAGAACTATACCTTCCAGTCCAATTTCCTCTTCCTCTCACATATCCACTACCTCTGTAATTGTTTGATGATGCCATCATAGCGTGATTATCATTAATTTCTGGGAAGATCATATGTACTTCCCTCTGTTTCTCAACTCTCAAGACCATGGAATAAGCTCTGTTGACCGATGGTAGTGGATCCATCACCAACAACTGATTTCTGATATTATCATAAGTGTCATTTAAACCCATTAAAAATTGCATAAGTTTGCTGAATGAAGCGTGATCTGATATTTCCTTCGCAGCTTCACAGGTACAAATTGGAATAGGCATAAGACATGCGATTTCGTCCCATAATTTTTTTTAGCTTAGTGAAATATTTTTCCACAGACAATGATCCTTGAGTAGAACTACTAATTTCTCTCTGTAATTGGTATAATAAAGGACCATTGCACTCTCCATATCTTTCTTCTAACTCTATCCATAAGTTGCGAGCTGAAGTCGTGTAGATAAAGGCGTCTACAATTTCCTTTGAAATTGAATTTAATATCCATGACCTAACCATACAATCCACTCTAATCCATTGATCCAGCTTCGAAGAGTTTTCAGCTGGTTTTTCGCACTTCCCATTAATGAATCCTAATTTCAATTTTGCTCCTAGAGCAATCTTAATCGATCTACTCCAACTCAAATAATTTTTACTTGTTAAAGGCGAAGTCAGTAGTACCATCCCCGGATGGTCTGAACCTTGCAGATCCAGTGGATCTCCATGGCTGTAGTCCTTCTCATATGCACCTTGCTCAATGGGTAAATCATGAGCTCGTCTGTGTAATGATTCTGTACTCATGCTCGTCGATCGGTTTAGATGATTGAGCTCAAAATCTGGCGTGGCTCTGATACCATGAAGAATTTCATGAATACCAGTTTTGTGCAGCTAAAATTGCTGCTGAATTTCAATAAACCTTTATTCAACCGAAAGTCAAATTAACAAAACAAGTCCAACCTATTTATACTAAAAACTGAGCAATGGAAGAGGGACACCTGGCAAAACTAATTAACTAACTAAAAGGTAGAAATCACGTGAGTAATGAACTAATTAACTAACTAAAAGGAAAAGAACAATTTCTTCAGTTTTTTTACACATAGTAATGAAACGAAGCCAATTTTTTAAATTCATTCTTAACTATTTTAAGGTAAATAAATCATAGACCAATCTATTTATCCACTGGAAGGAAGTAATTCTTTTCATTACATTAAACATTCATTAGAAATATAATTATTATCATTCAAGACTGTGTTTCTTCACTCGCTGCACTTACATCACACTGACGATGCATGCAAAGTGCACATATGCTGCACTCACGGAGCACACCGCTGCAGGCGCCCCCAATAGGGGGTGACACTTGGCATTTTGTCAACCATTTTTGTCACCCCCCTTTGTACACACAGCATCATTCGTGCTGCACATATTTGAATCTTTTTTTAATTTAAGATTTTGCCTCCAAAATTTAATTTTCGTAGGAAATAATTTTACTATGGTTCCCAAACATTTGGAATCTGCAACAATTCTGTCCCTATTCAATTTGGCACTTTTTATCACCAACATTTGCAACACGTTACTAATCAACCCTCAACCTTTTTTGGCATCAGGTCTAGCATTTTGTTTTGTTTCCTTTTTTTTGTTTGAAAGTTCAACTTTATTTAATCATGGTTCCTAATTTTCTCTACGTTCATTTATCTACACCGGCTTCTGATTTTTTTAGACCGGATCAAGACCAGTTATATTATTTTCGCTGTTTTCCTTAAAAAGTAATCTTTAATCTCTTCTCCAAATAATCAAGAATTCTTCTGTGTGGTGGATTTCGATTGTAGACTCGTGAAACTATTGCAGAAATTGGTAGATAGGTAGAAAAGTGAAGGAGGATCCAAGTAACATCGCAGCATACAGAAGACATTGGCGGGTCGTATGACAGTGAAAGGGTCATCATCAGAATCTTCTCCTTCATCTTCAACTGAGCAAGATCGTTTCATGGATGTATTCAGTGTACTTGTGGCCCAGGGGCAGAGGTAGCCCGTTGAAATAGGAGGGTCCTATAGTTGAAGGGGTAGGGCCCACGGGGGTTCGAGGGCAGCGCCCTCGATTTTTATTTTTTGTTGAAACATTATATCTTAAAATGAGGGAAGTTGGTACTTCCCTCATTATTAACAAACAAAATCAAGAAATGTATAAAGGAAAGTACTAATATTTAATTTAGCAAAGTTATACTTTATTACAAGCGTTCCTTTTTAGTTCTCATACTTTGATAATGTTGTATAACTACATCATCATCAATTCTGTCGAATACATTCTTCTCAATATACACAAGCAAGCTATCATTTAACCATTTATCATTCATTCGATTGCGCAATCGATTCTTGACATAATTCATTACAGAAATAATCGGGTAAAATTGGATATCAATCACACCCCTCAAGCTTCCAGCTATGGTGATAATTGCAAGAGGCAAACTAGCACACTTCTTTACCACTTCTCTTGCTATCTCTTCCACTTTGGGTGGAAGTCGAATGCCATAACTATGTTTGTTCATAAATAGAATCCAAGCTTCTTCCTCTGAAAGAACTTCCATTTTTAGATACTTTTGGCATTCCATTTTGTGACACACATCTAGTGATCGACTAATTACTATCATCTTAAATCCATATATAGCAAGAGATGGAGAAATTCGAATCTTATGTGAAGAAAATGAAGTCCACATATCATCGAACATGAATACAAATCTCTTTACTCTCTTGAATGCCTTACCCAAATTGCTGTACTCTTGTGCTCATCACCTTCAGCCGAAAAATCTAGATTCAATGCTTCAGCAATGTCATTTTGCAACTTGTGAATGTTTAAATCCCGTGAGACAGTAAACCGAAAAACATTAGCGTGTAACACGGTTTCACTCTTTAGCTTATCATAGATACATTGGGCCATTGGTATTAAGGAAATGGACATGGAATATCAATGAATATCAAAATGGTGAGGACAAAATGAAAAATACAAAAAAAAAAACATTTTTGTTAAAAAATTGGGGGGGTCCAGGCCCCCATTCCCCCCGGACCCCCTGCCTCCATCCCTGCTTGTGGCCGTAGGATGCAAAGACTGTTTAATGTACTTCATGGTGCAAAAGACACTCATGGTTGCTATTTAACATAGAGCAACTATTGTAATTGTAGGTAAAAACCGGACTTACTAAGTACTAAAGCATCTCCCCTAGAAGGATAGACCTCATATAATACATTCTGAAGCTATGTTGGCCGTACATTCGTTCAATTCGTCATCAAAATCTTCTTAGATCCTGAAAATTCAAATTATTTACTAAGAAGTTCCGTTGACTTATGACATCACTGTTGAAGATTATATAAAGTGTCTCCATGCTAGAATCAATCCAGACTTTAAGTATCAAATATTCATGTGGGTGCATGTGAAATTTAATATATTGTCTTCCATGCACTTGGCGCATGAAAAAATTGCAGAAAGTTGATCAACATGTTGGCGGAAGACAAGCATGGACAGTTTTTCCAATACACGGTGGTTCAACCTGATTACGACTGTGAAGAGGGCCAAACTTTGACGGTGGTCAAGACTCCACTCTACATGACATTAGAAAAAACTCATAGAGTGGGTGTCTATGTACTGGTCTTCAATTCGTGACATATTTAATAAAATCCAAGTCGTTTTTTATTCTAATAATTGTTGATTGTAATCATTTTAAGATCATTGTGGATTTGCAAGTCGAAGAGTGGATGTTCTCCCCAGTTTTGAGTTTTACGATAAGAATCTAGTGTTCAGACTTTTCTGCTTTAATTTACTTTAGGACATCATTTTCGACTAACTTGAACTAGTTGATCGACACAGTTACAAGTGATTCAAACACGTATGAACGTAGTCATTGCATTCAGTAAAGGACAAATATCTCAATTTATGTAAGAATTTGTATATTCCAAAGAAACTTGGAGGTGTTCGCATCAGTTATCTTGGCCAAGGGCCCTACTCTAACCCATTTTGTATAGTAGTCAATCGTAACTATGGCGAAGCAAGTATTCCCCCTCCCCCTTGGGAATGGTCCTCTGAAATCAACCTCCCACTTGGCAAGCTCAATATCATCGTGAGCTCTTGTGAAACGGTTGTCTTTGCACATTGGAGAAGCACTGACACTTGTCACACTTACGCACAAACTGTATCGAGTCATTTTTTAGGGTGGACCAATAGTACCCCTGCCTAAGCACTTTGTGTGCTAGTACTAGTTCTCTTGAATGATTTTTAAAGACTCCTTCATGAATTTCCCTTAAGATATAGTTCACTTCTCCCCCACCACGTGCAACTAAGGAAAAAGGATGAGAAACCCCATTTATACAGCACATCATCTTGTATAACAAAGTAGTTTCCCTTCTCTTAAGGTGGTGAGCTTCAACTTTATCGCTAGGTAAGGTCTGTTCTCTAAGGAATGCAATAATAGGTTGTATCCATGCCTGGGTGCCCTCGATCCACATCACTTCCTCTCTTCCCACAATTGAGGGTTTGACAAGGTGCTCAATGGGAACCACTTTGAGGAGTTCAGAATCTTTACTTCTAGCCAACTTTGCTAGAGCATTGGCGTGGGTGTTCTCAAGACGGAGAATTTGTGTTAATTCAAATCTTTTAAAGTTGGGGAGGAAGTGCATGGCGAATTGGAGGTATGGGTCTTTAGTCGAAAAGTTGTCATTGACTTGGCTTACCACCAATTGTAGGTGATTATTGATAACAAACCTTATTACTTGCATTTCTTTTGCTAAGTGGAGGCCGGCTAGGAGTGGCTCATAGCCGTATTGTTTGATGCCTTGAACTCGAACCTCATAGCGCAATTGAGCCTATGACCTTTAGGGCTTTCCAACACCACTCCGGCTCCTGAACTGACTTCTCCCGATGACCTATCAACAAAAATATTTCAAGTAGGAGGTTTTGCTGGTCCAAATTTTCTTCGATTTTAGGAGCTTTAGCAAATTCAGCTACAGCGTTTGTAAAGCTTAACCGAGGTCCTTGATTTGTACATTATATCGAACTCATTGAGCTCGACTGCCCATTTTAACATCCTACTTGAGGCATCTGGCTTCTGAAGGACTTGTTTAAGTAGGAAGTTTATCAACACATCAGTAATCAAGGAGAGGGCGAGCTTCTCCATGTTTGGGTAGTACACTTTTGCAGTAATAGGGCCTTGCTTATGTAAATGGGTAATAGGCGTGTGTTTTCTTCCCTTATAAGAATTAAACTTACAACGTCATTGGATATAGCTAGATAGAGCAGTAAAGGGTCACCCACCTTACATTTGGATAGGAGATAAGCCCGTCTGAGGTAAACTTTCAGCACTTGAAATGCTTCCTCACACTTTGATGTCCATGTAAACCTTTTATCCCTTTGAGGATCTTAAAGAAAGGAAGAACTTGTTTGTGGCTTTGGAAATAAAGCGATTGCATTCTGCTACTCTGCCAGTAAGTCTTTGCACCTCTTTACGCTTCTGTGGCACTCTCACTTCGATCGAAGCCTTGATTTTTTGGATTTGCCTTAATTCCTCTCTGATTCACAATATACCCGAGGAATTTATCGAAAGACACACCGAATGAGCATTTGAGTGTATTTAACCTCATTCTATATCTTCTAAGAATTTGGAATGCAGCATCTAAGTGCTTAACATGATCATTTGCTAGAAGGCTTTTCACCCACATGTCGTCTACGTAAACCTCCATCGTTCTGCTAATATAGTCAGCAAAAATCTTATTCACCAACCTTTGGTGGGTGGCTCCAGTATTCTTCATTTCGAATGTCAGCACCCCATTACAATACAGCCCCCTAACTGTGATGAAAGAGGTGTTATCCTCGTCCATTGGATGCATGAGAATCTGGTTATATCTCGAGTAAGCATCCATAAAACTTAGTAGCTCGTGCCCTGTAGTTGAATCCACTAATTAGTCTACCGGAAGAAATGGAAAACTATCATTTGGAAATACGTGATTGAGGTTAAAGAAGTCGATACATACTCTCCATTTGATATTGTGTTTCTTCACCAACACAGGATTGGATATCCACTTCGAATAGCTGACCTTCCTAATAAAATCATTGCCGATTAATTTCTCAACCACCTCACTCAAAGCATCATACCTCTTCATATTGAACGATTTTCTCTTCTACCTATGTGGGGTTTAGTTTAGATCAACCCTTAAGTAGTGGCAGCTGACCTTCGAGTCTATTCCTATCATATCCTAATATTTCCAATAGCTTCTATCATTTCGACATCTTTCCCTTGTGCAAGGGTCTGTCCTTTTTCAAGGGCGTCGATCATTTTGGTATTAAAAAGTACAATGTTAACTCCCTGGGGTTTAGCCTTTCTTAAAGAGTTGAGATAACATTCCCTAGACCCTATCTAATCACCTTGAATAGTAGCTATCCCTACTCAGTAGATGATGGATGGAGGTTATGGCCCACAATTACTTTAAGGCTGACCTTCCTAATACTCCATGGTATTCAGACTGGTGGTCGACCACCAAGAACTCCATGAAGTGGTGAGCTACAAGAGATGGCGTCCCCATTGCGATAGCTAGGGTGATCATTCTCTTCGAAACAATGCTATCTCCAGTGGATCCATATAGAAGATTAGTCACATGAGTGATTTCATGATCCAACACCATCTTATAGTAGGCGAAGCCAAAAAAAATATTCACCGAACTAATATTGTCTACAAGCATGTGCTTCAGTCCGTTTCGAGCCACCACAGTTCTTACTACTAACGCGTTCACAATAAGGATAGTATACGCCCGTCGTATCATCCTGATTGAATTTAATGGCCTCTTCAGGTCTTGCCCTTTAGGGCACCAAGTGATATATCGACCGGTACGATGGATCCCTAGCCTCCATAGTGTAACTCTTTTGTGTGTTTCAAGATTCACTTCATATATGCGATCCTCTAATAATTCTGTCGATCTCTCAAAAGGGTATATTCTTAATTGTGATGGGAGGATCCTTCTTTGGTCACTATCCTCCTTTGGGTCTATCCCGATCGTCATTTATCCTATGTTGCCTCGTCTTCCTTTTCCTAGGAAAGTTCAGCCTCGAAGCTCCGTCCTGAAGGCGACCCTCCCTCCTCGTATTATGGGGATTACTTTTTTTTTTTTTTTTTTNTTTTTGCAATTTAAGGGGCCTCCTGACATTCATTTGTATCATGGCCATAGAAACGATGGAAAGTACAATAGGGTCTCACCTCCTTAGGGAGCCTATTTCTAGGTTCTCCACCCTTTCATCTATCCCTTAGGTTAGAAGCTCTCCTAGATATCTCGGCTCCAACGTCGCCACTAGGCCCAACATTTTCGTAAGCCAATGTAGGTACAATGATCAAAGTTACCATGGCCAATGCTTGTCCCGAAGTGAAGGCTATAGTGTGACCAGCTTGAGTCCATTCCTGGTTTACAAAATGTGACATAGGCCTTCTTTCCATATGCTTTTGGGGTGGGGAAAGTCCCTTGTGCTGCCCTGTTTTGATGATCGATACTTTTTTCATTGACAATCTCAACTTGCATCATCTCGTCATAAGTGGAAGGATTTTTTGCTTTAGAC